GGGGGGATCTTAGCTCACGGGTTCCGTTCCGTCAGACGAAGATGGCATATGGGCCGACGATTTAAGGAAAGCAGGGTGGGGGGATTATCAGGGGGCTAGTTTGCCCATCATGGGGCACGGGGCCACCCACCCTGACCGGCCTCTGCGTGCTGATGTAGCGGTAGCGGCAAAAGCAGCAGCAGCAGACGTGTGCGCTAAAGTAGCACACACATAACTGAAAAAGATGAGGTCAGTTTTGGTTTTGTTTGTTAATAATTATTTTAATTTTTGTTCCCCTTCCCCTTCTTTCCCCTTTCTTCCCCCTTCCCTCTGTCCCTGTCTCTCTCTTTCTCCCCTCTCCCGCTCTGTCTGCCTGGTAAAGAAAAGAAGTTGGAAAGGAGTGAATAGAGGGCGGATCAGCCTGCGGTGCCCTTGCGGTACAGGGGGCGTATGGGCCCCGTCATACGGGAGAGCCTTCCCGGCCGGGGGAGAGTGCTGAAAGCACTCGGGGCGATCTGGCCGGGACTGCAGGGGGCTGCGGGTGGCGGCTGAAAAGAGAGGAAGAGGGAGGGGCGGGCGGGGGACTGGATTTTTGCCAATTTATGGGCGGAAAGTCCTTCACGTTGCCTACCTATAGCCTACTTGTCCAGCATCAATAAGCTACCAAAGTAGCTACCAAAGTAACTGTAAAATGCAGCTGGCACGTGAATGGAGCGTTCGTCGAATGCGCGAAAGGAGCAAAACTAGGGAGGTGGAACAAGAGGTGCCTGCGGTCGGCGGGCGGGAAATCAAAAGTGCGGTCCCAGCGATCAGGCCGAGCTCAGCAGTCCAGTAGGGCGAGGGGGGTGGGGGCAGCACCGAGTGAAGATTAATACGGGGCGTCGGATTGTGATCGATTGAACGGGTCCGCCCGCAGTCGGCCGCGCTGCTGGCTGCTGCCTGTCGCACCGTCAGAAAATATATCGAGGGCTGCCGTTTGCCGTATACGCCGGCTGCGGCCTGGTCGGCGTGGTGTGCTCCCGCGCGCGCGTGTGTGTGTGTGTGTGTGTGTCTCTGTGTGTGTATGTGTATGTGTGTGTGGCTCCCGCCCCGACGAAGGTTGCCCCCTGCTCCTCTCGGCCGCGGACCGCCGAACGACCTACAGGGTGCGAGTAAGTGAGAGATAGGGATGGGGGAAGGGAGGGAGATGGAGTGAGAG